ATAAAAAAGATCATTTGATTTTGTTATAAGAGATCATGTGATGATAAAAATGTGTGTGAATGGACAAACCAGCAAGCTGAGCACACTGTAAAACATCTTAAATGTTGTTTTGTTCATTCTAAAGCCTTAACTGTTTCAGTGTTAGTGTTTTCATATTATTAATGACACCAAGAATGTTATCAACAGCGTCTGTGTTCCGCATTTCACGCCTTCAAATGCCACCACACATTCACTGCATGTCAGGATTGCCTTCTTTTAAAACGGTGCCAGTTTTTACAATTGATGTTTGGCACCGTTAATCAGGAAGTGACGATTTTGTTCTCTTTGACTCTGATTTTGTTGCATTATTCGCTCCTTTATTCACACGTCTTTTATGGGATATTCATGTTTTGCGCATAAATTTAATTCACGTTTTTGGATGGAAACATAGCTATTGACTTCCATTGATTTTGTTTTCTACTATAGAAGTCAGTGGCTACAGGTTACCAACATCCTTCTTTCGTGTTCATGGGGTCAAATAAAAATCGTAAAAAAATTGAAACCAAGGTGAAGGTGAGAAGGTGAGAAAATGGAAATGAACATTTTTGGGTGAACTATCCTTTTAACTCTAATATACTGGCAACTAGAAAAATGAAGTGGGTCTGTGGATTACTCCGTGGGTCTGTGGATGTTCCTAAGTGATTTTAATAGTTCAACTATTTAAGTACAGATGTCAGCAAAATTCAACTCCATCTACTAGTTTTGTGCACAGACCAACAAAAAAGCATTGTATGTGAACGGTTCTTTCTCTGTGTCTCTTTCCTACTCTAAAGTTATTTGTTATTTCACTCTTGTATTTGTGCTTTCATATTGAAAGATTCATTTGGGCTGTTTCCACTGATCACAGGGCCAACAAAAACACAGCAATGAAGTGCTTGATGTAGGCTATGTGTTTATGTGTTTTGGCAAATCAGTAATGCTGCATTGGGTTCTGTGGGTATCCATTTGTAGTGAAGTATTCAAACTTCTCTTCTTTCCTGTTTTGGCTTGCGTTAAAACAAAAAGATGCGGTTGGTTTTCCGCAGAGTGTGAAACATGTTGTCTGGGAAAGAGTTTCTGGTCGCTGGCACTGATTGAGTGAAGCCCTTGTTTATGTTTCACAGGCCTTTTCATGATGTTGCTGAGGCAAAAAAACCCACAGCAGAAATGTCATTGTTCCATCTGTTATAAACATTTATAAACATAAAACAGTAACAAATATGGAGGTGAATGCGTTCACACCAGGAGTAAGTCACAGGACACGAGATCTGTCAGATGTTTTTTATTCTTTGTTTAAAATGTCGCTTGCAAGACTTCATCCGTGAAATTAGAGGACAATTCTTTTAATCAAAGCCTCTGTCAGTCTTTGCACGCAAACCGTGTCCCTCTTTTCCTCAGCGAGTTTCAATTGCGCTATAAATGGCACTTAGTCTCCATACATTAATGAGTGACCTGAAGCACATGGTCTCCCTCACACACGCTGAGTGTGTACAGATCCCTCTTCAGCCTCTCATTAACAACACTGAAGAGAGATCAGCCTCTATTGATTACACTTTCCATAGCCAATTAGCTTCTGATGTTATCTGGGAAGTGTACAAAAACATATCATTTAAAAAGGGCAGTCACAGTGGTCAGGGTCACTGCAATGCACTGCGTCTGTGTGTTATGTAGTCTGTGTTGCATTGAATTCCAAACTTCTTGTTTGGAAGGTGGTTGGATCTCAATATGAGCCATGGACATGAACAATTGGTATTCCACAGGGTTTACATTTATCACATAATATTATTGTAAAATAATATATCAGCTATGCAAAGATTAATCACATCCAAAATAAATGTTTGTGTGTGTGTATTATGTATATTTATACAACAGTTCTGTCTGGTACTTGAATGTGATATTCTGCAATATCAAAACTTGTACAGCCTCCTCACCCTTCTGTATTACTCCGCCCACACAGAGTGCCGCAGATCAATAAACTCACTACAGTTTGACAAATATTGCAGCTGTTGGACAACATAATGTACTTTTGAGGCTTTTGTAGGTGAAAATTGTAAGTGTTTAGATTGCATCCATGCAGTGACAATGCGTAGTTTAAATATTTATAGTTTTGGAGATACAGTGCGTCAGCATCTATCAGCATGTCATACTGAGCAAAGCAAAAACAGTTGATGTTCTGCTGCAAGATGGCGACAGAGACTACATAAAAAGCCCTTACAGGAGAAAAACTCGCAATTTCAAACTAGAGCTGATCAAATCATAAAACTGGTAAGTGACTTTATAAGTCGATCTCTCACTTTTGTATGCTGTAGTGCTGTATTTATACCATAGTAATCTGGCAGTGTTTCTGCTAGTGTTTGCTTTGCTTTGGCTTTTTCGGGGTTAATTATTGTGATATCCGGATTGCAGCAGAGAAATACTGGGAAATGTCTTTATACTGATGGCATTTCATGCAGTTCAGCCTTATAATTGTAAAATGTGTCATCATTTTAGACATTACGCTAGAACAGTGTTTCTCAACCACGTTCCTGGAGGTCGCACATTTTTTATGTCTCCTTAACCAAACACCTGATTCAGATCATTAGCTAATTAGCAGAGACTGAAAGACCTGTAATGGGTGTAACAGACAAAGGAGACATCCAAAACATGCAGTGCTGGTGGTCCACCAGAAACGTGGTTAAGAAAATCTAGAGAATCATTCAAATACTAGCTTTAAAAGTGGCAGCGGTTTCTGCTGTTCTGTTGTCAGCTGCAGATGTAAGTAGTTCCTCCTACAAAAGGATTTTTAGACTCTCCGTGTTTGCTTTTTCTTTTTATATATATGATTGTGCCGTCAAACTATTGTATAAATGCAATATCACACTCGTAGCAGTGTGATATGGCTGTGTATCATCACTGGTGGGACACTAAGGCAACGTACGCCTTCCACCAGTGCCATTATACAGCCATATCGCACTTCTACTAGAGTGATATTGCTCATAAATTATGTATATGCAACACATGCACAAACATAAAAAAAAAAATAATAAATATATATATATATATATATTATATAGTTATATATATATAGTATATATATATATACTATAGTTTTATGTAATGTCATAATTACCATCAAAAAAATTATTGCTATTATAATAAATCATTTTTTTATTATTAACAAATAAAAATGAGCAAAAACTGATTTTATATCATAATGATATTAATGAAGAATAACTATAACCAACAAATGATAAACATATTATATTTATATTTAAATATAACAATATATATATTTTACATATAATAGACAGTGGTACTGGCAGCTGTGAGAAAACAGAAGCATGAAAGGAGCCTTTAATATAAGGGGGTGACTGGAACTCCATAGGGCTTTTATAAAGTGACTGAGAGGGGCGGACAGACGCCACAGTGATTGTGCTAAACGCCACTTAGAGGTAAAGTTCAGGGATTAGTGATTTTCTCACAGCCCTCACTGTCCTGCATAACAACACATTGCCACGTATCCACAGCGCACTCATTTGAAAGGGCCAAGCAGTGCTTTAGCCAAACTTGACCTTGAATGAGAAGGAAAAAAGTGAAAGCGAAGGAGAAATTCTGCTGACCGGTTCTCATTTCAGCCAACTGAGAAGAACTCATATTTATAATACAGCCCATCCATCATCCAGACAACGCATAATTAGCGCATGCTGTCGGCTAACCTCTGGAGCATTATGGTGAACGCGTGTGTTTGCGTGCGCGGCTTTGTGTCTCTTGTGGCCAGTGTATGGCTTGAGGCACTACAGCAAGACATTTAGTGTGCCTGTCTAGTGTGGATGAAGACAAAGCAGGCCCTCACTGGCAGAAACAACATGTTCACACACGCAGCTGGAGAGCTTCGGCTTCACGGTCAGTCTTTGGGCCAGAGAAATGACTTGTTAGCAGCATTCAGACAGCTGGAGTGTTTAAATGAGAGAAAGACAGCAGGTTTGTTGAGACAAATGTCTTCTTCTTGACTGATGGCTGGTATAGTAAATGACAGAAAGGTTGTAGATGGCTGCTTGTGTATCCACTCACTGATATTGTCTTGTATGGGATATGTAAATGAGATCTCATAGATCTTTACTATGTTTCTACCTGGTACTGTATGTATGTTTTTGTTCCATATCAGTCGAGACACATGACTGTTTTCACCTGGTATTTACATGCCTTTTATGTGACAAACAGGTGCTATTTTGACAGCCAAATTTTTAAAGCAATCTATACATTCACACTTCAAGTGTGAGAGAAAAACATTCTCCTTATGCAGTGTCTGCCATCAGATCAGATGCTGAAATATAGCGTCAGTGTTCCCGACCTGTCAGCTGTTATAATGTGCTCCGCGGCTCTTCAATGCAAACACACACACGCGCGCGCCCGCTCCCTTTCAAATTACACCGAAGTTACCGACCGCTCCCACGATTTATTCGGATATTTATTCCCACACCGCAAGAAATCTGGTCCGATCCCTCGGCTACCGCAGTACAGCAGCGGGAATGCAGACCTCTTGTATTAACCACGTCTCCCTTCTCAATCGGCCGAAACCGGTGCAGATGCAATCTAAGCTGCATCCAATGCTTTTTAATGTGCTCACCTAACTCAGCCCCCAAACCTACCCCTCACAGTGATGTCAATAGCTAAATTGAGTTCATTGTGTCTGACATTGCAGGGTGTCTGAGGGATGCAATCTCAGCTTGCACCATAAAGGCTGCATCCAGATACTATTGAAATCAATCCAAAATTCACTATTTAAAATGAATAACAACCTTTTTATTAAACTTGTCCTGAAACCAACATGTGCATTGAATAATACCCTTTCTTGTTTTACAACAACTTAGATTAACTTTTCGATCTACTTTGTGTTGATTATTGCCATCGCTTTAGTGCGCATCGTTTTCTTGATCTGAGATGTCATATAGTTGTCTTGCTGTGAAGACGCCTAACTCTCTCTTCCACTCTTGTTTGTGCAGGATCCTCTGGATGAAGGATATGCTGAAGGTATCAGCGATGAACATTATCGTTTAGAAGGTAAACCATTACACTTAACTGATGTTTTCTTGTATATATAAAAAGCAGATTTATTAATTGCTGCATTTTAATGATGATGGAAAGATGAAAGACACTTGAGCAAAAACTGTGCAAATGATTTCAACCAACTTAGAGTGATTTGTTTCTTGTGATGTTTATTGTATCATTTGACCTTAAATCTAAGTTCAAGATCAAAAGGCTACAACATTTACAGCTTGTACGTGCTTGCACAAGGGTCAAATTTCAGTCAGGGAAGAGATCTGATTGGTTAAGGTGTTTGTGTTGCAGTTGCATCATAGTAGTCAGGAGTAAACTGTACGGAATCAGTTACCTGTAGAATTGGATGTCATACTTTTAAAATTTAAAAACAAAAACTGATGCAGATGTTTATGTGTCTGTCACAACTAATTATGGCACATGCAAAGACATAAGAGGGCTGTTAGTTACAAGTGTATATATTATCTCGCAGAAGGAAATGTAGTTTAGTGTAGTTGACAGATTCTTCCAAACCCTGTTTCATTTTCTCATCACTCCTTGTGCAAGGATATCATAAATTGTTAATTCATCTTAATCCTAATCTTAATCCAATATACAGCCGACTTTTTTATACAGTAGAACATTTTTAGCTAAAACAGTGGTTCATGGTGATTCATAAAATCAGTGGCTACCCCAGACTGCCATGAATTAACAAATTGAAGTTTTTAGACGAACTTTCCCTTAAAGTTTATAGTAGCTTGTAAAACGGGGAAACATCTTAAGGGGCCATGAATCCCCCCTGTCTCAGCAGAGTGTTTTCACACCTCTAGTTTGAAAAAAGTCAGGAAAGTGGGTGAGTCCAGCTTTGTTTAGGTGGGGGTATCCAGCAGCCAAAGAGGGAAGGGATTGCATGAAAAGGGGAGCTTCAGTACGTGCGACAACCCAACAAAGACACAGTTTACAGCGGATCTAAAAGCTGTGTGGACGTGGAGGATTTCTCTCCACCAGATTCCCCTTAGTCACATTATCTGGTTGATGGAGCTGCACTGCACTGAATACAGGAGAAAGTGAAGATGCTCCTAACGAGGCGAATATTGAAGTCTCGCAATGGTAGTTATTATGCCCAACTGTAAATAATTATTTCCAATATTACTGTAAACTACTTAGTAACTTCAGTCATTTCACTATATATTGTCTTAAAAACTAAGCGTACTGCTGACGATACTAACTAACTTTGCCATCTGGAATACATAAACAAAACATTGATCGCTCCCTTAACAAATCCGTAGAGACAGGACAATCAACACCAACTAGAACTGCATCTTTGCAGTATGAGTGGCAAATCCGGATTTCACCATTTTCACATGCAAAAAGCTCTATGTTCCTTACAAACATATTTTTATTGCATGTTAGCAAACCACTTTAATCCACACATGTGGGTCCATGTGGAAACTAAACGTTGTTTCTTCTTTTACTACTTGTTTGAATTATGGTTGGCAACACAATGTGGCGTCTCTTGGAACACTGTAACAGGTGAAAGGAGTCTTCAAAGCTATATCATGCATATTAATGAAGTTGCATCTCATTCACAATAGAGCACGCTAATTGGTTCAAACCAAGTCTTGCTCATGAATTATTGCTGAGAACTCAGTGATGTTACTTTGTACCGGCCAGTACAGACAGCCAATCTCCATGCTGGAATTTGCATGATGATCTCATCTCCGTGACGTAGCTTCAAAATTTATTTCCAAACTGGAAGAACAAATTTGCTCTAAACAACGCAAAACAGCCAATTTCCCCTTTATAGCTAACTATATGTGTCCTAATACTGTTTTTAGCAAAGAGGGACATGTATATCAGTCAACATTTAAAAAAAAATGTGTTTTGGTGTTTCTTGACCCTTCAACGGGAATCTTAACAGCCAAAAGAAATCCTGCATTTGTGGACTGGGAGAATTTTTAACCAAGCAACTTGTTACCGCTTCACTGCACTTTTGCCTGTACCAAACCTCCAGGGGAAACACACTGGGCTTCAGCTATTAACCAGTCACCTCACAGTTTATTCTGAACTCCAGGTGAACCTTTAGATTCAAAGCCACCTTTGGGACTGAGCCAAGCTGCCCTCTGTGTTGTATAGTGTGGTTTTTAAGCTCTGTCATCGGAGCTGTGTAGCGGGTTTGGCTGTCTCATCACTCTGTGGGGAAGGACTTTGACTATCGCTGTGAGAGTTAGCACTTCCTTTGTGTGTACGGCCTGTGTGTGTGTATAGTTTCTTTGTGACCATTTGCTAGTCCTCTAGATAAACAGCTCCTGTACTGTATATTGTGAGCTGGCTGGCAAGCAGGCTTTGGCCCTGGAGCTCAGCGTTGCTTTTGAGTTTCTGGCCCTGATCAAAAGCCCTGATCTGACGCTGTTTCCCTCCAAAAAACCTGTAAAAGCTCCCTGGGACGACTGCTCTCATCCTCTGGTGCTTTTCTTTTCTTTTTTCATCCTCCCTTGCCTTTCGCTGCAGAGGGACAAGACAGGTCCTCTTTGATCTGAGCGGATCAGCGGAGGAGAAGTGAATGAGAGAGAGAGAGAGAAGACAGAGAGAGATACTGTTGTGTCTGCCTATCCTTTTGGCTCGTACAACAAACACTGTTTCAGATTTGACTTTGCTTAATTAATTAGAGATTCTGTTTTACAGACGGACTGATCCTGGGCCAAAAGGTTTGAGAATGGAACTTCAAAGCGCAGGGATTTGGGGCAGGGGGGAGGATTTAGCCTGCAGGACCCAGCCTGGTGCTGAGCTGTGTCCTCGCTGAGCTGCGTTAGATCTGCTCTCGTTTAAAACATCTCCATCTTATTACCCACAATACACAAAGAGACAAACTGCCTCTGAAATTTGGGTATTGAGTTGGGGATTAATCCTGACAGGCATTCTCTAGATCTGAACGGGCCGCTGTTAGTCTCCGTTTTTCAGTTTGCTCGCCGTTTCAGACACCAATAGGATATCTAGGATGCTTCCTAAGTCTGGCCTTAGGTCTGATGCAAGAAGTTAGGCCTGTTTGCAGGCATTTAGCTGATTTAGTCTGCTCTGAAAGGGATAGTTCACTCAAAAATAAAGATTGGTCTTGTTTTAAGCCTGTAAGATGCAACTCAATGAAATGTCAAAAGTGAAATAAACATCACAAATGCATCCTCTTCCTTCTTTTACAATAGCTACAGAGCTAAATTGAAGATTTAGGAACACAAATCGAAGTTGCAGTTACTGTATATAAGCTCATCGTGTCATAGTCGGTTCAGTCACACATGAGAAACCAGTGCCTTTTAACATCACTGACGTCTAATCTGTCACATTGCATCTTGATTTAAACAGCTTACATTTTGATCTGCTGTCTTGGTTCCTCTGGTTTCTTCCTCATTCTACATAAACAGCTTTTCCTCACTATTGTTGCCTTTGGCTTGCTTGCTGAGGATGTAAGGCACTCTTCTTTGAAAAGCTGCTTTCAGGCAATTCACTGTGAAAATGCTGCCGCTGCACAAATATGGTTTTGGATTGAGATGTGGACATGAGTGTGTGTGTGCCACATGTCCATCAATGCCTTCCAGACATTCACAAAGTGTGCAGAGGAATGTGTAGTTTAACATTTAGGATGTGTTTGACTCATGTCTCACGCTGTCTTTATTGTAAAATGACTGGACAGCAGTACAGGGATGACATACTCTAGCTGGATATAAAAATAGCTGAGTGCTTCCTATAGGCACTCTTTCTTAACTCTTTTCCGTCTTAGTTTTAGCTCAAGAACTTTTCATTTAATCATAATATTGTTCCAGCTTACTGAAGAAAAAAAAGGTGGTTAAAAAAGAAACACAATTATTAGCCATTCTGTAATTTAACAAAAAATAAAAAAAGATAACTATGAAAAAGTTATGTTTAACAGAGCAAAATTCTTCACAGTATTACCTATAATATTTTTTCTTAAGGAGAAAGTTTTATTTGTTTTTTTTTCGGCTAGAAAAAAAGCAGTTTTAAATTTTTAAAAAAATATTTTAAGGTCAAAATTATTAGCCCCTTGAGGCTATATATATATTTTTTCCGATAGTCTACAGAACAAACCATCATTATACAATGACTTATCTTATTAATCTAACTTGCTTAATTAACCTAATTAACCTAGTTAAACCTTTAAATTGCACTTTAAGCTTAATACTAGGATCTTGAAAAATAACTAGCGAAATATTATTTACTGTCATCATGGCAAAGATAAAATAAACCAGTTATTAGAAATGAGTTATTAAAACTATTATGTAAACTATTATATAACCTAAACAGAAATCGGTGTGCAGGAGGCTAATAATTATGACTTCAACTGTACACAAACACAAAACACCATTAAAGCTGCAAGTAGCCATGAAAGGGAACTCGCACCTACACTCACTCCGGGTGGCTTTAGGATGACAGAGAACAGTGGACGAAAATAATTTAAGCTGATTTATATATATTAATCCTTATGTGAAGCTTATTTATAAACTAATTTTGAGAGGAGCATGTGCTTATGATTGCTTGCAGCCGCCCAGCATTATTCACTTTATGATTCACCAATCAGACGATTCCTGAGCCACTATAAATACCCTAAGTTCCATATAACAGCCATTTTCGTTTTGAAGAATCCCCCTTCCACCCCTACTCCTCTTCCTTTCCTACATGGGTGGCACGGTGGCCCAGTGGTTAGCACTGTTGCCTCACAGCAAGAACGTCACTGGTTCTAGTCCTTACCAAGCTAGTCGACATTTCTGTGCAGAATTTACATGTTCTTTCTGTGCTAACGTGGGTTTCCTCTGGGTTCCCCGGTTTCTTCCCACCGTCCAAAAATTTAGAAATGCTCCTAGTAAGTAGTTATCTCTTAAGAGCAATCACTATTTGTCCATTAGTTACTACAGCAGGGGAGTTCTCAAGATCTAACTGAGCTCAAACTCCCCTCTTGTCTTGCAAACTGGAGGGAGCCCCAGGCTCGAGGATCTAATGAGCTCAGGGCTCTCTCCCGGGACAGCATGCCAAACAAGCTTTATAATCAATCATCAGAGTGGGAACTCTTGAAGAAAAGTTTGTTAAAGTTAAACATCTGGAAATGGCAAAAACTGCACTTTTTCAGCAGAGGAAGTAATAATATCTGACTTCCTGTTGGGTTTGAGATTTTGCTCCAAGAGACTTTTTTGTAGGTATTGGCATGTTTGATGTGTGTGCAAATTTTCGTGTGTGTGTGTGAATCGCAGCTCGGGGGCCACTTCATCAAATGTTTATTGGTGGCACTGTTGAGCCCTATTACCACACCCATTTCCGAAACCCATATCAAACGATCATTTTCACCATGACTGGTGTGTCTGCAAAGTTTTGGAGCAGGTTTAGACCTTCAAAATTCCTTCGATTAGGGGTGTAAAAATAATAATAATATTAATAATAATAAAAAACGGAGCAATTCCAATAAGCCCTACACACCGTAGGTGATCGGTCCCTAAATATGATAACACATTTAAGACTAAATTACACTATAAGCATTAACTTAAATAAGCTGCAAATTTAAACATACATAACCAATAACAAAAAAACAATAACAAAAAGAAGAAGTGTTACACAGATAATTCTGGGAATGTCAAATTAAGTTTTTTAACTTAATGTCTTGTTAGTTGCATCTAGTATCTACTGTTTTATTAAAGTCTTTCACAAATAAAATTCTTGGTATGTTCATAGTTTTGTATGATCTTCCAGATGTTACTATCAGTTACTGACAAACTAAAAGAAACAGCACATTAAATATGTTATAAAAGTACCTTAGGTGTTTTTAAATGTCTCCTCAACATGATGTGGATGTGTGTGTTCCTGCAGTGGCTCTGCCCCCTGAGAAGACAGACAGCTGCAGTGTGGAAGAGAGAATGCAGGGCACTGAAGGCTCTGCCACTGTCGGCCCACACAAACAACTACAGTTTGAGGTCAGTTTATATCACACACACGCACAAACACACACTGAGCTGGGCATAACCTGCCTTTTACAAATGTATGGACAGTAAGATTTTTTTAGGAGACTAAATGCATATTTTTATTTTATTTTACAAATCACAGTTTGTAAATGTGTTTTTTGGAAATTGGAAATCACAAAGGAGAATGATAATGACACTGATTACTCACTACAAAAAATCTTTCATTTTTAAATACATGATGTTCCTTTAAACTGTCTATTTACCAAAATTTACTCACACTTTCAGCAAAAAAATAAAATAAAAAATAAAAATAGCACAGCTGTTTGTAACATTATAAAATAAGAAATATTGCTTGATCATTCCTTGTCATGTTGAAAGATATATATTGAACGATAATGTGAGTAATGATGCTGAAAATGTTTAGCTCTATCATCACAGAAAGAAATTACGTTTTAAAATACGTTAAAACAGTTATTTTAAATTATTATCTAGCAATTTTAGTAGTTTTGTGATTATTAAATGCCATCTTAGAGGAAGACACATTTTCTAAAGTCATAACAATTTAAAACGAATGAATTAGGGCTGCACAATATATCGTTTCAGCATCAATATGACAATGTGCGTGTCTGCAATAGTCACATCGCAGGATATGCAATGTTGAGTTGGGCTTATAGTTGATTAGTCCAATAGTTGAGAACACATGAGGTGTGTGGAGTCATAGCAGAGTGAAACGTTATCATTTGCACGTGTTTTTAAGACATTTAAAGAGAGTTTATAAAACATTTGAGCACAAAGAAATACGTTTGTAACTTTAATAAAGAATATTTTGACTGAATTAATACAATACTATTTTACTTTTTATGTTTCATTATTCAATTTCTGTACCATATCTCAGTATATACCGCAGAAAAAGAAAATTTCGCAATGTCACATTTTTCCAATATCCCGCAGCCTAAGTATGAATGTATTATTTGAATCTTTGATTTCCACTATGTAACATCCAGCCATTAAACAGAATTGGTTGCATGATGAGACGGACAAATTTAACAGATAAACTGAATATATATATTTTTTTTTAATGGAAAAAACAAGATTGGGAAAAGTAAATTTGCAAAAAAACATGCAGATTTCATAGGGCCCTACAATTGCATTTTGAACGTGTTTGTGTTTCTGAAGCAATGATTATCTATTGTTGATAATTAATCAGGAGCTGGAGTGTGCTGTATCAGTGGAAGAAGATAACAGACAAGAGTGGACTTTCACTCTCTACGACTTTGATAACAATGGCAAGGTCACAAGAGAGGTAAGACGGCTGAGACTTGTGTCTTCTTTCACCACAGATCCTCTCTCTGCATCTTTTATTTACTCTGAGTGCTTTCCTTAGCCTCCTCGTTGATCTGCATTTACATTTCATTATCATATGCTAAATAGGTTCAGATGTGTAGCATGTTGCATGTTTTCATTTACATGTGCTCTCCTGTCTTCCCTCCCCGGGGCTATAGAGACGCTGATTAACACATTATGGACATGTCTGTGCATGAATTATCAATAATGCATGCATCTTATCATATTTCACATACAGCATATAGAAGCCTAATCAGTCCTGCCATGTCAGTGAAGATGTCTTAATTTTGTGTAGGGTTTTTTAACCTTTCTATTATCTTGTATCCAGGACATCACAAGTCTTCTGCACACTATATATGAAGTGGTGGACGCGTCAGTGAATCACTCTCCCAGCAGCAGTAAGACCCTCAGAGTCAAACTGTCTGTGGCTCCAGACTCCAGCCAGAGATGGAAGAACTGCACTCAGACTAACACAGGTAAACACACACACAGAGATAAAGAGCTCGCTCAGAATAACACATAGCTAGTGGAGAGATACCAGCAAGATTTCACTCCAAAAACAATTTAATTCTTTCTTCATTCACTCAGCCTTTATTAGTTCTTTCTTCTAAGGAACACAAAATATTATATTTTGAAGGGTGTTGGAAAATTCCCATCTGTCTTTTTTAGACGCATTCTGGAATAATGCATAAAAATAGCTAATGGTAATGGCAAGATGCGCATCAATTTTGAAAATGCGCATAAAAAAAACTGATGTGTACAACTGATGTAATGTAAAGGGGACGCTGACAAAGGACTGTGGATCCAAATGCAGGTTTATTAAGAATTGTCAGACAAGCAACGGTCAGAACAGAGACAATCAGGTACATACAGTGAATCCAGAGTTGTAGTCAAATAACAGGAGAGTGGTCGGAAGACAGGCAGTAGACAGGAATAAACAATCAAACACAGCGAAGGTCTAACAGGCAAGACAAGGCTAAGGGAAACGCATAGTAATGTTTACAGTTCAATATAACAAGACTCAGCAACCAAGTGTGCATGTGTACTATGCATATAGTCTTCGTAATAAGTCCATAATGATTCTCCGGCTGTGAGTGCATGCAGTCAGCAGAATCTGGAACAGGTGCGTGTGAGCGGCACATTACTGCAACCTGTAGTCCATGTAATGGTGGATTTGCGGTCCATTAGCGATCTGCGTGTTTACTAGCGATATGCCAGGATTAGATCTTTGGTGAGTGTGACAACTGAGTAGGATAAACATTTTATCCAATAAGAAAAAAGTGCATGAGTTATGATAGAAACACATTTAATGAATTAATTCAAGTATGCTCATCAAAAAAGTCATTTTGTTTTAGCAGATTATGTGATAGCAAATGTGGTAATATAGGATATTAATGGACAAACCAGCAGACTGAGCACATTGTAAAACATCTGAATTGTTGTTTTGGTCATTCTAAAATTTGGCCAAAGTCCATCATCTAAGTGGCTTGATATTTTTACCTTCTAGAACTATATTGAGCGGCTGTGCTTTTAAAGAGTGGTCTCGCGCCTTTAAAAGCCACCAACTAATCATCGCGTTTTGTCTTTTGAGGCGCAAGTGATTTATTATATAAGAAAAAAGGCCCACAGTGGCATGTGCTACCTCAGCAAATTCCATTTTTCCTTTTGATATTTGGTAGCAGTTTACTATGAAGTGACAATTTTATTCTTATTGTTGTCATTGGATGGAAATGGTGCTTAACCATTGCGAGATTTCAGGTTTCCGCATAATTCTAATTTGCTTTGTTGGAAATTGTTTTTACGAGCAGCTTGAAAACCACTCAGTGGATTTATTTTTGGATTTCTTAATAATTATTTTTTAAGCATTGGAGTTTAGGACGAAAAGGACTTGATCAAAAAATCTTTATTTTTGTTCCAAAGATGGATGAGCGTGAATATATGTTAACAGAGTTTTCCTTTTGTGTTGAACTGACCCTTTTAAAAAGCAGCTTTGTGTTTCATAAAGAAGCAAAAAACAAACCCATAGAAACCGACGTGAGGGCAAGTAGATGATGACAGAATGTTGGGGCGAACAAAGTTCTTGTTATGCTGTCTCCTACACTTTTGCCCTCCTCCTTTTCCCCGTCTTCCATGTCATTGTATTTCTTGTGTGATGAGTTCATAGTCAAAGGCAGAAGAAGAGAGAGAGCAACCCAAACCTCTGCAGCTCGGAGCTTTTTGGATTCCTTTTGGAAGGCGCTATCTTATCCCTCTCTGAAAGTCTTCTTTCAGACAGTCTTTTGCTGTTTGAAAAATAAATAAATCCACATTTAGCCACTCTCTAACTGTGTTACTTGGTGAAAAAAAAGCAGTGTGATGGAGAACAGAAAGTACTGTGAAGAAACAGAAGTGTTTCTGTTTGTTTAGTGCTGTCATTTGGGCTATTTATACCCGTCATGTATTTGAAAGAGAAGAGTCTTTGAACAGCAGCTGTCTTCATGCAAATTCACAAGTGTGTGTTTTTTAGATTTATATGAGGCCTGAGGTTCAAAATAGAATAAATGAAGCATTGTTGTTTTTTCTTCTTTTATGAACCTTCAAAGTAAATAGAAAACAGGGAACAAAGGTTTCTTTTCTTATTCTGGTTGGTCTTTAAAGCTGCTGCAGTATATATGTGTTTGTGTGTGTGTGTGTGTGTGTGTGTGTGTGTGTGTGTGTGTGTGTGTGTGTGCGCGTGTGCACGCGCGCGTGTGTGTGTGTGTGTGTGTGTGTGGTGCTGTGCAACTCAACGCCGTTCTCTTTGATAAAGCCCCCCCAACTCTCTCTGTCTTTCTCATTCAGACACCCCCAATCCCAAGCATAAGGGAGAAAAGTGCATAGAGGACTCCAAGACTTCAGAGAAGAAGTCAAGAGCTTTTCTTAGGTACTCTATCTGAGAAGTTAATTTCATACATTATTGATTGTTACTAAACAAACCTTACACATAAACATAAAAAAATCAATTATTATTATTGATAAATGGACAATATTAAATTGTTGTGTGCACAACCTCATGACTCCATGATGCTGTTGTATTAGACGTTATCATGCCGAGCACCACAGCCAGCAGGGTTGCCAGCGGCACTGTGTGGATGAGAACCTGGAGAGAAGAAACCATTATCTTGACCTGGCCGGCATTGAAAACTACACATCCCGCTTTGGAACAGGTAAGATCTTAATCACATACAGTGAAAGGAGCCAAAGATCATCCTCATTTGGATCTTAGTTACGCCTAATGTGTAGATATATAGATGTATGTATAATTAAACAGAACAATGTTCCATTTGAACATGCTTTAAGCAAGACACTGCAAGTAAATAGGGTTTAACCAACCAATAATAATTATTACTACACTTCCATTAATAGCTGATTAATTGTTTAAAAACTTATATTAGTTTTCTAAAATGTTGAAATATGCCAATGAGGCATTATTTAATTACATTTGTGCAGTGTTGGGCAAGCTACTTCAAAAGTGTAGTGAGCTAAGCTAAAAGCTACATCTAAACTATTTTTGTAATTTTCATTTTTAAATCAAAGCAACTTAAATCCACGTCAATCATATCTTAATGATCAATAAAACTTATGAAGCATAATTATTCAATTACATTATTTACAAATAATATGCTTTACTAAAAAGAAACAAGTTATAGTATATGGGCAGCAAAAACAAAAACTGTGAAACCAGGGCCATATATATATACAGTAAATAGAGAAGTACCACAACAAATTAATTTTGGTTACTATAAGTTACTAAAGTATTTTTTAAGCACAGCATCAGAATTAAAGTTATTGCATCTTAACATGTACTTCTCGAGGTATGATCATTGGCAATCCTGCTTTAGAAATAACTCTCCCTCAGTCATTTTTCTAACAAGCAAATTTCTCATGCTATTAATGTCACCGACTAGAGCGAAAGGTGGCATTAATGCACCAAAAAATTGGTCATCGACCACTGAAAAACAGGAAGAAGAAGAAATCATCATCCTCGCCATCATACAGATTTACTTTCATCGGCTGGACACCAGCCTCACAGCTCCGTGAATGTCAGTGCCCTCACTTATTGATCTGTGAACAGTAAATGTAGCTTGTATGGATGCAATTTAGCTACTTGACTATAATATAGCTTCGCTACTTAAAAGCCATTTGATTTAGAAAGTAGCGTCACCACCACGCTACTGAGAAATGTAGCTTCACTACAGTAGCGTCTACTGCCCAACACTGTATTTTTGCTAATTTGCATACATTTCTAGCACAAAATCTGAAAATTGGAGGGTGTCAGGTTCAGTTTTTGTTAATTTACTTATTAATTTATTTATTTTGCACTGGAGTCGACCGAACACCCAAAAAAACAACAAAACATTTTTTTTTTAAATAAGTCAGACAAATTGTATGTGATTTCCCAGGGATGGGTTGTGGCTGGAAGGGCATCCGCTGCGTAAAAACGTGCTGGATAAGTTGGCGGTTCCTTCCACTGTGGCGATCCCAGATTAATAATGGAACTAAGCCGACAAGAAAGTGAATGAATGAATGAATGAATTGTATATGAAGACAATTAGTAAAAATGCTGTAAAATTTTTTGGAATGTATAGTATTATTTTTTGAAGGCGTTATTTACAACCATAGCATATATAAATAATAATAATAGTAATAATATATTTTATTTGTGTAGTTCTTTTCCTGCATAAATGCAATTTAAATCGCATCTCAAACATAAATATTAAGAAACAGCATCAATATCAGGTAAAATATACTAAAAACAGATAAACAAATACAAAAATATAAACAAATAAAACAAATCAAAGAACAAATATAAAAGCATATGTCTACACATTGATATAAAACATTGTAATGTATAATAAAATTATTATTTTGTGTTTCCTTTAGCAGCTCCTGCCACCGAACCGGCAAAACCTACCCACGCCACCCGTTCGTCCAATCAGAGCCGCTCGCGCTCTCAAGAACCAGAGAATGGCCAGGTTCACCCGGCTCACCATCGCCGCTCACAGACCATGTCCACAGATCCTCCTGCCATCCTTACCCGACACACACATGCTCTTCGATCCCCGAAAACCCACCGCACGCCACCCACCCAGGCCTCAGCAGGCCGAGTTATGAGGAGAGGAGCACCACCTCCCCCATCGGTCCCCAACCAGACCCCTCCACACCAAAGCTCAGGCCCATATCGACGACACAAGCAGAGGCCTAAAGAAGCGCTGCACTACAGGGCCCTGGGCCCGAGTGTGACATCCGGCCCAGTGCTGGAGAAAGAACACGTGAGGGATCTGCCCAGTCTGGTGCTTTATGAAGGAGGACTCGCTCAAGTTGTCCAGAGACACGAGCATCATCATCATCACGAGCATCACCATCACTATCATCACTTCTACCAGTCCTGAAAAGTCAAGCAGGAGAGACATGTAACTAATCAATGATCTTAAATCTTCTTGCACGGCCACCTTGAGGCCGAGAAGGACACAAGGCATCCCGATCACGTGTGTGCATTTGTGTGTGTATATATATAAATATATATAAGTGTGTGTGAGAGAGGTTGTGTGGGTCGGTATGAATGTGTTCATTCCTGTCTTTGGCAGCAGGAGCTTTGGACAGGTTTACATACTATGTAAGGGCTCTTTGTTTCCATTTCTTGCTCTCTTTCTCTCTCCCTTCATATCTTGCTCTTTTAATGCTTTTCTGATTGGTTGAAAAGGTGATCAGCCCTGGTAAATGAAGAATTTTGAGTTGTCGAAACCACTTTTGAAGGAATTCAATTCCTTGGTTTTGTAATTTACATTATGTTGGTGTGCGTGCGTGCGTGTGTGTGTGTGTGTGTGTGTGCGTACATGTGGATCTGCGAGTCATTGTGTGCCTAAGGAGTCTTTTTTACACTTATCCTGTTTTTCTTTCTTATATTTTCCACTGAAGACCACTTGAAAAGCACTTCTTGTGCCATTGCATTCGAGACACTTTATCTACGAAGAGCTTCTCTCGGAAACAGCAGATCTAAATCAACACCTTTAAAAATGCAATACAGGACACATGTACAGAAAGAGCCAGTAAAGACGCTCAAACTGTCAGAGAGAACTTTGTTGAAGGACGGTGTGAGGACTACACTCTACCAATCGACATGAAGAAAACAGAGCATCATAATCAGCTGCTACCTCTAGTATTATTATTATTATTATTGTTATGATTATCGGTATTATTGACATCATTTTTTTATTATTCAGATTTAATTTTTTTATTTGTCTGTTTTAATATGCCACCAATCTGCAGTTATGTCAAGATGTACTGGATTGAAATCCATCGTAAGCTTTATTACTGAAACATTTGTATTCATTGTTTTTGTTTTGTTGTTGTTTTAATGTTTTCCTGTCCCCGTAACATTAAGCTGATTTCATTGTAAGACCACTAGGCATCAGAGTTTATAGTTAATTATGTGCATCATACAATATATTGATTGAAGAATAATGTTCTGAGGTGTGTTAAACATAATTTATTTGAAAAAACGTATTCCTGTCATGTTTATGGCAAGTCAAATCAGTTGATTGGAAAACACTGAATATAGTTTATATTGTATGACACAATATTATACATGATATTGTAACTGCAGCTGGTTTAGTTGTGGTTTTAACTTTGTCTTATTATAAGTTCATTCAAGTTGTCCAGTTTGACCTTGTAAAGTGTGAAGGAATCTGTGCTGCCAAGGATCAATAGCGCTTTCATTTTCTCAGGTTCATTTGTTTCCCATTTTAGTCACTGATTTGACAAGATGAGCTGTAAACCACTGGACTACATGGACATTTTGCTTGCAAATCATTTTCTTTTAGACTCCCAAAATATGTCTACAGACTGAATTTTGGTTTTGTACACCATATGGTAGTGCCTTTAGCTTAGTATTGGCAGAAGTGAGAATAGTAGCATAAAAAAAAAGATTTATTTGGTTTATTTGAAGTTCATCTGTTCCCCTGCAGCAGTTTTAAACAGCGTTCAAATAGTACATTATGAATCTATTTTAGGTTCGACGTATTCCAAGTCACCTAGAGGGAGTGAGTGTGTATGGCAGCTGTCTCATTCCTCAGGGGCAGGATGACAGTATCGCCGCCTAGGAGTCTCCAGTCCTCCCATAACTCACCAGTACCCCACTGACAGAGACTTAATGAGTGTGCGTGAGCTTCCGAAAACAACATTACAGAAGATTATGAAGCAGAACAGCCGTCCGCTGTTGAGCAGGTGTGTGTTGAAACTCACAGCAGGTCCTTTAATAGTAGCTGAATTTAATATAATCTAGCTTGATAATAATGTGTCAACATGGAGAGCATTTAACATATTAAGAATTAGCCTGTTATTGTGAGTGATGAGGTGTGTTTATTCTGTTTGGATAGAGCCTGACTCTTCTGCTCAGTAGGACGGTGGAAATGTGAGAGCATCACTCTACACGAAACTGTAGAAAACACACCTGCAGCTTCAGGGTGGTCTCATCATGGCTAGTAAGTCAGTGACACTCGACCTTCACTCGGTCTCGCTGTTGCAGGGGAATGAATGTGTGGTATGAAGCTTAGTTCTCCCTCTCGTTTTATCATACTGTCTTTCCTTACAGTGGGCTGTCTCCATTTTAAACATGTTTTGCTGCTAAAAAATGCACCGATGGCTTGGAGAGAAAATAAAAAGTTGAAACACGAGCAAAATATATGAATGCACAGTCAATTCAGTTATAATGTTAATTAATTTACATCCTAAAGTGGTTAATTTTTTAACAAATCACCATATTGTTTAATGTCTGATAGGGTCAGAAATATGGAAGGCTATCGGGGCCAAAAGTCTTTCGACAAAATGCATTGAATTTGGTGGTGAACATGTACTTTATGATCAGATGAATTTCAAATGAATGATTTATGAAGTTTAGATGGCAGTTTTGGAGGTGCACAGTGTGAACCAGTTGATGTATCAGGTTTTTTTTTTTAGGAAAATGTTAAATCTGATGTTTTGAGTTTTTGTCTTGCTTCTTGTCCAAATATCTAAAAGTTTTTAAATCAAGAAGTATTTTCTAGAGAAGCAAAAGTTATTGTCTTGTTTTTTTAAAATTAGGTCTGCTAAACAAATCTGCCAATGGGGTAAGAAAAAAAAAACTTATTTCATAGAGAAAAACAAGTTTATTTAACTTGGCATTTTTGTAGTGCCTATCAAAATCTGTATTCTTGAAGCTGGGTGTTGTGTTCCCTTCCAGTTGAACCAGCAAAAAAAAAAAAAAAAAAAGAAAAGAGCCCAAAGATGGCCCATTTTCCCCAGGAACGTTGCAACACGAAGGGTGAGAAAATGTCTGAAGAGTTGTTGTTAGAGCCTGCAGTTTTTAACGAATTGGTATGAATCCTGTTCTGAGCAGGTCAAATAGAACCAAGAGGGTTACGTTTGTACACTACAATAACCTTCAGAAATAAACACGATTTAATGTTTGCACACATAAAGCACAACATGCTGTCTCATTTATATAAATTGGCGGTTGTGCTTGTTAGTGCATTGACATGGTCTAGCTGCTTTTGGCCCTATTGACCTTCCATACAATTGTAGCTTGTTGGTTGTACATATGGCATGAGTGGACCACTGTGGTGATAACAGAAAGAGTCTACGCTGAGTATCTGGATGATCGACTATTTTGTATAGTGCCATTTGTACCTATATAACATTTCTTGATTTCTGTTGTGCTTTTGTTTAGTGTGATTGACTGTGTTGGGTGACACACTCTTTCAGACACACTCAAAGTGATTCATGGAGGTGCTTGTATATAAATAACACAATGTGGTAGCATTACATGCCACACCACAACACTAGTACAGACAACTTGTGTCTTTTCGTAATCATTTTTCATGCTTTTTTTTTTTTTAGTTTATATAGATGGATGGAAACAATTGCTTTATTTATTAAAAGCAGACCTGTGCCAAGAGAAAAATCTTACATTAAAAGCTGAACTGTTGCATACTGACTGGGTGGGCTTGATTTCTTTGGCCATTGGTTAATGTTTCTGATGATTTCTTTGCATGCGTGTACTACATCATTGCTGCATGGAGAGATCTGTTTCTACTTCTAGTGGAGTGTAAATACTTCCCAGTTAATCTATGTTGTTTGCATGCCCTGTTTTTTGACTGCTGCAGTCTTACACAGCCAAGGAAATTAAAATTCTACTTACAAACTACAGTAAATACACAATCTCCATTAAAAACACATCTCCATGCACTGCTATTTAAAAGTTTGAGGTTCTTTAATTTTTTTCTTTTTTGACAAAATATCTGCAACTATTTAATCAGAAGTAAAGTATGTGAACTCTTTTTCAAACCGTTAACTCTTTTTAGTTGTAATATTTAAAATGTAAACTGTTCCCCTAATACCAAACTTCAGTCGTCACCACTATTCGATCCTTTAGAAATCATTCCACTATGTTATGTTGCTCAGTTAGTACTTATAATAAACACTGGAAACAGTGCTGATCAATATGTTTGTGTTCATAAAAACTGCATTTGTGTCAAACAGGACTTATTTGTAACGTTATAAATGTATTTTCTGTCACTTTTGGTTATTACGTAATGCATTCTTTCTGATTTTTACACAATTTCTACTAAAGTAAAACATACATAAGTGGGTGATAGATGTGAGGTAGATGATGAATAAATGTAGTTTGCATTAGCTGAGAAACCCTGTGGGAGTAAATCAGAGCACAGCAGGTCCACTAAATTTCATTTTGATTTATTACATTTAATAAAGCTTATTTTATGTATGTTAATGGTTTAGTTTCAGTGCCACTATTTTCACTATTTGTGCCTTATTACCTCTCTATTATTAAGATATTGGCTTTTTATTAGTACTTAAAAAATCCTAGTACTAGTAATTAGTACTTATATATCCCGATCCTAAATTCAATACCTTAACCAGCAACTACTTAATATTTATTTATTTATTTATTTATTTATTTATTTATTTATTTATTTATTTATTTATTTATTTATTTATCATTGTTAATTTGGCAGGAGCAGAGTACATTAATTAGAATCGATTCTGTAACCATGGGATGTGACACTGACAACAGGGGTGAGGATCCAATTGCAAGGTTTTAATAGAATGTTCAGGCAAGCAGTGGTCAGTACAGGGGTAAACATGTATGAGGGCAATCCAGAGCTGTAGTCAATTAACAGACAGACAGTCACAAGGCAGGCAGCAAACAGGATGAAACAAATAAATGAGGCAAAGGATCATACCACGACAAAGGCAGACAAAGGAAACGTGTTGTAGTGTCACTATAGCAGATAACAAGACTCAGCAACAGTGTTTGTGCTCCTTATGTAGTGCATTAATCAGTCCTTGAGCAGCTTCAGCTGTGAGAGTGTAATCAGTCTTGATCTGGAACCAGTTGTGTATGTGTTTTATGACTGGGTCTTGTAGTCCATAAATGGTGGATTTGTAGTCCTTAAGCGATCTGCAGCTACTAGATTGCTGGTGATTATGACAGCTGCAAGTACACCAGATTTAGTCAGAAGGCTATTTTCTTTTGTTTTCCCTGGACAGATGTTAAAATAGTCACTCTAAAAATTATTAAAAACAACAATCAATTAAGCAAAATTAAAAAGCACTAAAATAGACATAGTTGAGTAGATCCTAATATTAAAACGTAATTGAACAAAATAAACTAAAACACCAACATTATGTAATGGAGATAAGAGTAGTTAAATAATTAAAACAACTAAAAACTATTAATAGGGAGCAAATCAGGAGTTTATGTTGGCAAAAGTCATAGTTAATGGTTTATTAATAGTGAGAAATATACTGCAAAAGATATGGACGTAGTATCTGTAACATCACCCACAGATTTTTAAAGAGAGCAAATTAAGCTACAAATAGGCGAGGCAAGCTACAGATATTTTGCTTAGACAGGCATTTTTTTGGGGAGAAATACCTAATACTTTATTACCTGTGACTCGTTTGTGTTCTGACCACTTGTGCTTGGTTGTATACTATATCAATAAAGTGTTTATTATATTTAATAACACTGTGTTAATACATTGAGCCACTGAGCATCATGAAGGGTTATATGCACCAAAACTATCTTTTGTATCAGGCTGTAAACATGTTTTTATAAGCTGTAAAATTAGCCAGTTGAGCATTGCAGTTTCAGTTACTTCACTCTTGGCTTCACGAGGGAGAGCAGGATGTTGCTGCTTGGAAATATACCTTATAATAAAGTGTGACCAAATTAATTTAGACATTATTAAAACTAAAACTGCCTGTATGTTAAAATTATATCACGGATCCAAGCTAATATGAATTAACAATGAGCAGTTGAACTTGCATTAGCTAAAATTAAAGCGAATAAAACCTGTAGAGAATGTATAGTTCATTTTTAGTTCGGGTTAGTTAACGGGCCACTGAAACGCAACAGTAGAAAACAGGCATTCTCAAAGAACTTTTCCCTTCTAAACTCAACAAATATCTTCAGAAGTACATAAAAGTGACACCAGGTTGGCACGGGGCGCTGGATGTGTGCGGTGAGGATGCTGAGGGCTGTAGGTGTTAAAGAGCTGTATCTCTGTGTCACAAAAACAAACAGACGGCGAGCAAGCGAATGCCGCTATTGAGTGAGGAGGCTGCTTCCATATGTGTGGAGTGTGCTTTGTCTCCTGTAGATAGAAACAGTGCTTTGAAGTGCGGATTGGCCCAGTGGGGTGCAAGCTTCTGTTGAGAGGAGATGCTAAACACAGAGGATGTGAGGGACACGCGACTACACTATTACCCATACAGGAGCAAAGAGGCGAAAACGCAAATCCAATGATAATGTACATCTGTTCCAGAGTATTTAGAGGCTTTGAACGCTTTTTTTTCCTGCCGGATAAGTGGAGCCCTTTTTCTTACAGTATCTCACAACTTCAAAGCAGATTCGCCGGATAATGCAAATGATCGGAATATAGCGCTTTCTGCAGGCTTGAGAGCATGAAAAGAAAAAAGAGGAGAGGGGGAAAAAAAGCGAATTAAAGCTAATTGGTGTGGCAGGCTTTTATGTATGGGAAGAAGGGCGAAAATAAAGCACTTTATTAACTGTCAAGTTCATTGAATTAGGTGAGGAGCTGACTGAGTGCTAAAGTTCACATTCCCTCTGTCTGTCTTTGAGGTTTGTTTGTGGCACTCAAGGTCTTGTTGCCCTGTTGACATTTACTCCGCGGTTACTTCAGTTGAGGGTATGATGAGATAATGGTCATTGAGATTAAGAGCGTCCTGTTTGTAATCACAGAGGCCGAGAGGGAGATGTTAATGTGATTGGCTGCTCCAGTCTTGGTATGTGCTTCACAAAATAATTCAAATACTTTCAAGTGTTAATCTGCTAATTGGCCAATTCGTTAGGTGCTACCTGCTAGCGCCAGGTTTGACCCCATTTTGCCTTCAGAACTTGAGTTTAATAATAATGACATATTTGTCGGCTGCACATTTTTAATGTGAATCTTTCATTGCACCACATCCCAAAGATGCTCAGTTAGATTTTGATCTTATTTCTAATTCATTATATCACTTCAAACCACCAAAGATCTGATTCCATTATCTTAGTTTTAATACAGAAACAGGTTATTATTAGGCATTTCTTTCATGTTTATTATTATTATTTAAAAATTGACAATACACTGTGAACAATGTACAATACATACAGTTGAAGTTGGACTTATTAGCCCTCTTGAATTATCAGCCCCCTGTTTATTTTTTATTTTTTCAAATTTCTGTTTAACAGAGTGAATATTTTTTCCACAAGTTTCTAATCATAATAGTTTTAATACTTCATCTATAATAACTGATTGATATTATCTTTGCCTTAATGAAAGTAAAACATATTTGACTAGATATTTTTCAAGACACTTCTATACAGCTTACAGTGACATTTAAAGGCTTAGCTAGGTTAATTAGGTTAACTAGGCAGGTTAAGGTTATTAGGCAAGTTATTGTATAACAACGGTTTGTTCTGTAGACTATCAAAACAAAATATAGCTTAAAGGGGCTAATATATTTTTTTTTACCTTAAAATGGTGTTTAAATTAAAAACTGCTTTTATTCTAGCCGAAATAAAAAATAAGACTTTATCCAGAAGAAAAAATATTATCAGACATACTGTGAAAATGTCCTTGCTCTATTAAACATCATTTGGGAAATATTTAAAAAAGAAAAACTAATTTAAAGGGGGGCTAATAATTCTGACTTCAACTGTATATATTCCTATAGTACAGGCAATAACAATCAATTATTAACAATAAATAAATAAATATAGCAATAAATACATAAAATGCAGACATACATCAATGCTAAATATTGTCATTTATTTTGAAATATAGGCTACAGAGGTGCGCTGGCGCATCACACCTCTGTATACTACTTCAAGCTGTTCTTGCGCTCCACCATCTCACAATATAAATAAACATATAAACAAATAAACTCTGCTTGCCATAGTTTACATAGGTCTGGAGGGAAATATGCAATGATAAAGCTTTATTATATTTATATATATATTTATATATATATTATTATATATGTGGTTTATTTTGATAGGTTAACTGCTTTTGTGCTGTTTAGCGCTCCTCAGCGCATTCAAAGAGAGAGAGAGAGAAATCACATCATCACATATGCAGTTCTTTCAGTCGATTTTTTTCCTGGTTTTTATTCTTCTCTTTGATTCAAATATGATTTCCCAGCATCCCTCAAATCCTTCCTTACTCTGTCACTTAACCTTACATTTGTTTATGTCGGCTCTGTTTTTTTTATTTTTTTATTTTTTTTTTGCTGAGGATTGCCTTTTAATGTCCGAAGTGTTTAAAATACCGACTCTTGATTGTAAAAAAAAAAAAAATGGTTCTCAGAATGAGTTTTACAATCTTAAAACGTTGCATGATTGTAATAAAATAAGTTAAAGACAGTAAAATCATTGTAATTCATCATTGCAACCGCATGTCAAAATTA